TCACATTAGGCCCATAATTATAGTCTAATACCTATAAGTCCAACCCAATAATCTTTATTAGATCACAATTAATTTGGATTTTCTTTTAGATAACCATACACATTTACGTCACATATGTAACCCCACATAATTATTAAAATAATTGCAACATCTTTTTCTTCACTCTTCAATAATAGCACATCAACTTAGCACGCAAGCACTCCTATCACATCTCTGTCTCCCAATAATTCAATAATAGAACCAATAATAATAGCATGCAGTGATTCCCATCTTTTATCTTCAGCAGTAAGACAGAATATATAGATAGACATTGGAGAGGCTGAGATAAAATTGTAATGAGGTTATTAAAAATATATTTGAAATAAATTGTATTTTATTAGCAATTTAATTAAAATGTGTCTGTTCCGGCTGCGTGCAGCCGCGACATTGCTACGAAACTGGAACGGCAGTGTCCGCGACAATGCACCGCTTTGTTCCGGCGAACCTTGTATCAACGGTTTGGGCTACTTATGTGGATTATATCAACCTTGATGATGCCTTAAATCTAAACTTTCCTCCCCCTTGAATTTTTCATATTTTCTTGTTTTATGCATATACTATTAAAAAAAATCAGGGGCGCTGCCCTCGAATCCCCTTCCATTTTAAGTCCACTATTTTTATTAATAAATTATTTATATTTTTTACTATACTTAATTTTGGAAAATCTCCGTCAGAAATCATGGATTCGCCACTGCATGCACCTCAGTGAAAGCAAAGCCAATTGTACGAGTGGTCTTTACAAGTGTGGCAAATCCAAAAAGAGAGTGGAAGTAGTGAAACAGAGTTGCATTGGTTTTCAGAAGATGAAACATAAGCGATACAACGTCAAATATGCGTTGTGATTGCTATGTAGTACAAATTCGACTGTTTTTTCTTGTATCGTTCTGTTTTTTCACGAGCGTGACCGTGAAATGAGCTAAAAAATAAAGGAGGAAAAGGCTATCAAGTGGTAAGATTGGAACCATATGATCATATGGCAGACTTATAAGCATACATAATTCTATTAAGTTATAATAATCAAAATTGATTATGTTGGCGTCAGAATTCTGTTAGTGAAGATTGAGGAAACCCGCCATATTTTGGAATTAAAAGATTAGCAAAGATTTATTTTCATGTTTATTTGGGAATTAATTAGAGTGCTATTCTTGTAATATTTTTATTAGGACTTAGATTTATTTCCATGTATTATATTCTAGTTAGGTATCTTTTGTACGTATCTAGAATAGAAGTAGAAATCGACTAGGATTCTATTACCTAGTTAAATTGATTTATTTACGCTCAAGTTAGGTTTAGGGTGGTGAATTTCGTGTCTATATAAAACCTTCAATCTCACATGAGTTATATGAAGCTTTAATCGAAAAATCCCAGCATAAAGACTTTGTGTAGAGAGTCCAAGAGTGCGGATGGAGGAATTACTTTGAATATGGACAAGTTAGAGTTGTGTGCAAGAACAGCATATAACATAAAAAGGGAGTCTTTAGTGTTTTTATTAAGTCTAATATTGTACACTTAAATCTGAACTACGAACCACATTAAATTCTTGTGTTCTTTTATTCTGCTTTTAGTAGATTAATTTTGTATACACTCAAGAATTTTGTTCCCACACCTAATGTCGTATCAAGTAATCTGTCTCAACAGAACGAGTAGATTTTCATAGGCATATAAATCAAAAGACTCTGACGGCACGTTTATAATGTTTTTTTTTTCTTTTTTTTTTTTTTTTCCATTTGTACTTTTGATAGTTAATTCAGTCCACACAAATTGATATATATGGTCCTACTTATCAAAAAAAAAAAAAAGTTGATGTGGTCCTGACTCGAATCATCGTTTGAAATGGGGCCAAATGTTTATGTACATTTTTGAGGAATCGAGTATATAAATGATAGAAGGTTAATGAATTTCTTGTCAAAACTATTCCTTCATATGTATGTTGATTAAATTATATAGTAGAGAAT